GAAAAGTTTAGCAGTTTGGCTGAGCTTGGCTCAGCCTGTCATCCCAGCACTTTGGGAGGCCAAGGCGAATGGATTGCCTGAGCCCTGGGTTCGAGATCAGCCCGGGCAACTTGGTGAGACCTCGTCTCTACAATAAATTAAAACTTAGCCAGGCATGGTAGCGCGCACCTGTAGTTCTGGCTACTTGGAAGGCTGTGGCAGAAGGATCACCAGAGCCCAGCAAGTCAATGCCGGGTTGGCCATGAGCATGCCACTGCACTCCAGCCTGGGCGACAGAAAAAAGTTTAGCAGTTCCTCAAAATTTAAACATAAAGTTACTATATGATCCAGCAACTTCACTGCTAGAGGAAGAAAAACCTAGGTCTACACAAAAATTTGTAGAGCCTCCAACCAGCATTTATTACTAACAGCCAAAAAGTGGAAATAATCCAAATGTTGATCAACTGATGAACGGATTTTGTCATAATGCAGTATATCCATATAATGGAAAATTACTCAACCATAAAGAGGAATGAAGTACTGATACATGCAAAAATACAAATCAACCCTCAAAACATGTTAAGTGAAAGAAGCCAGTCACAAAAAGACATGATTCCCTTTACATAAAATGTCCAGAAGAGGCCAGGCTTGGTGGCTCAGCCTGTAATCCCAGCACTTTGGGAGGTTGAGATGAGTGGATTACCTGAGCCTGCGGGGTCAAGACCAGCCCGAGCAACTTGGCAAGACCTCGTCTCTACAATTAAAAAATTTTTTTAAATGTCCAGAAGAAGCCAATCCATACAAACAGAAAGGGGCTTAGTGGTTGCCAGAGGATGAAGGAAGAGAGAATGGGGAACAACTGGTAATAGCTATGGGGTTTATTTTGGGGATCATGAAAATGTCCTATAATTAAGAAATATTTGTGCAACTCTGTGAATATACTAAAAACCACGGGATTGTACACTTCAAAAGGGTGAATTTTATTATCTATGAAACTAAATCATATACCATGCCAGTGGAACTGTAAAACCATACAGCTATTCTGGGAAAGTCTGTCAGCTTCTTATAAAACTAATCATCCAATTACTACAGGACCAGGCAATCACACTCTTTGGCATTCATTCCAGGGAAATGAAAACGTATGTTGATGCAACCTGTAACAGTTCATAGCAGTTTTATTTGCAATAGCCAAAAACTGTTAACAGCCCAGATCAGATGTCCCTCACCACATGAAATGTTAAGCCAAACTGTGGTATGTCAGTTCCATGGAATCCTATTCAGCAATAAAATGAAGAAACTACTGACACACCACTTAGGTAAGTCTCCAGGGTTTTATGTTGATTGAAACAAAAACACCACCAAAAGGTTACATACTATGTGATTCCATTTATATAACCATTTTGAAAGGTCAAAATTTTTTCCAGGGATTAGGGGAGGAAGTTCCTGGGAATGGCTGTGATTATAAAAGAGATTCTTGTGCTGATGGAACTTTCTGGTATCGTGACTGCGGTAGATACACAAATCTATACAGGTGATAAAATTGTTTAGAACGACTCATATGTTGAGGTGTTCAAAATTCATACGTTAAATTTATTAGGTATTAAATTATACCTAATAATTTGGTAAGTGAGTAGACAGAATGGGGTTGGTGCCTTTGTAAATACATGGTGAGGAGACAGTTGTCTACCAACCAGGAAACAGGTCCTCACCAAACACAAAATCTGTCAGCACTCTGATGTAGCATTGCTCAGCCTCTAGAACTGTGAAAAACAAATTTCTATTTATAAGCTGTCCAGTCTATGGTAGTGTTATAGCAGCCCATACAGAGTAAGATCTAAATACACACACACACCCCCGCCCAGGGAAATTTGAATAAGATAGTTGGACTGTATTAATGTCAATATACTGATGGTGATATTGTACTACACTTTTGCAAAATGTTACCACTGGGTGAAACTGGGTAAAGGTTACAATGGAAGCATAGGGCAAGAGATTGCTGGTTTTCATGATAAAAAACTTTTTCATGCTATTATATCTTATTTATTTACATTATTTTTATTGAAAAGAAAATACATGTTTTCCCCTAAGTGAGTTATGCTATTCAAGTACTTGACATACAGAAAGTGTTCAATAAAAGTTAGTTCTTTCCCTTCCATTTTAAGAATAAGACAAACTCTAGACTAAGACGTCAATACTTAGTCTAATTTTGAGAAGCAGAGCCAACAAAATCATCCAGTGAGATTATCAAGGCCTTAAACTAGAACCATAAGACACTACCAACATAACTATGAGAGAATTTCCAGCCATCACTGAACAAATTTGAAACTAAGCCCTCTTCCTATTCCTTGTTCAACAAGCTTAAAGAAAGCAATTCCAGGGAAATCTAGAGGAAAAGTAATAGAGAATGTACAATATCTTTGTCCTCATATGAATAATTTATTTCATTATCATGATTTTATTAGTAATTGCTTTATCACTAACATTTACCAAGTGCTTATATGCTTAATATATCATCCCATACAGTCTCATAACTTAATCTTCATACTAACCTTACAACATAGATATTAACCCTATTTTACAAGGAAATGACAACTTAGAAATGTTAAGTATATTGTCCTATTCAAAGACCTGGGAAGCAATGTGTCAAGTTTTTCCTCCATGTACATCTAATTCCAGAACTGAAGATCAGACCCACTGATTCTCACTTTAACAAAAGTGCCCGTCAATAACTATATGAGCACTTCACACACACAGGCACCACAAGCAAGTTTCCAATTGGGCGAGCTCAAAGTATCTGGGAATTTTTTTTTTTTTTTTTTTTTTGGAGTCACGGTCTCATTCAGTCGCTGAGGCTGGAGTACAGTGGCTCAGTCAGAGCTCACAGCAGCCTCGACCTCCTGGGCTCAGGTAATCCCTCTTCCTCAGTCTACCCAAGTAGCTGGGACTACAGGCATGTACCACCAAGCCTCGCTTTTTTTCTTTTTCTTTGATTCAGAGTCTCATTCTGTCAGCCCGGCTGGAATGCAGTGGCATGCTCACGGCCACCGAACCCTTGACCTGCTGGACTCAGGTGATCCTTCCACCTCAGCCTTCCAAGTAGCTGGAACTATGCCTAGCCAATTTTTGTGATTTTATTATAGAGACGAAGTCTCGTCAAGTGCCCAGGCTGGTCTCAAACCCCTGGGTTCAGGCAATCCTCTTACCTCTGCCTCCCAAAGTGCTAAGATTACAGGCATGAGCAACCACGCCTGGGCTTTTTTTTTTTTTTCCCGAGTTGGAGTCTCACTCTGTTGTCCAGGCTGGAGTCAGTGGCACACTCACAGCCACCCACCCCAGCGTCAATCTGCTGGGCTCCGGCGATCCTTCCACCTCAGCCTTCCAAGTAGCCAGAACAACAGGCGTGTGCTACCATGCCCAGTTAATTTTTTTTATTATTTATTGTAGAGACGAGGTCACGCTAAGTTGCCCAGGCTGGTCTTAAACCCTCGGGCTCAGGCAATCCTCTTGGCCACTTGGCCTCCCAAAGTGCCAGGATTACAAGCTGAGCCCAGCCTTTTTTTTTTTTTTTAAGATGCACATTGGTTTGAGGAGGGGGGTTGATTTTGGGGGGGGGGGTGTTGGTAGAGAAGAGTTCTCACTATGTTGCCCAAGCTGATCTCAAACTCCTGGGTCAAGCAATTCTCCCACCTCAGCTTCCCAAAGTGCTGAGAATACAGACATGAGGTACCACACTTGGCCTTACTGGAACTTTTTTTTTTTTAGATGTGGGGTACAATTCAGGGTTGGGTATAATCAATGGACTTTTAACCCTCCTAACCATGACATCTCCCCTGCCATTCTGCACTCTATAGCCAGCTACTTCAGTGCTGCCCTTCAAGCACTAATACCCCTAGGCTTCTACCAACTTAACCAGTCACTAACCCATAGGGCTACCGTAAAGACTCAGTAAAGAGCAGCTCACTCCTTTTCTTATTATATGTCCTTGATCACTGCTAGTGAACACTCTTATTCATTCCCTAGTCCGCTACACACACACACGAGTTCTATACCCACACTTCTCTTTACATCTCTGTCAGCCTCAGCTCAAGCTGTCACATCCTTCCCAGTGAGAAAAAGCATCACTGTAAAAATCAGTCAACCTGTAAAAATCAGTCAAAATCTACTGAGCTATCCTTCTCCCCTACTGTCTCAGGAAAATGTTCCTGTTCTCTAAAAGTAACCCTACTCTTGAATGGAATCCAATCCTTCTAGGGTGGTGAAAGGACTTTACTCTTTCCATTGGTTCCTTTCCTCCTGCTTCAAAGAAGCAAAATGTTTCCCTTTCTTGAAAAATGAAAATGCTTTCATTTCAACCTGCAGCCTTGAGTACTCTTCAGTGCAAACTGCTGTGCACACTGTATTTAATTAATACCTATCATGTGCATGTGCTTGCAAGAAGCACCAGAAATAAAAGCTTTCGTGGTGAGGACTCAAAAGGTTAGAGAAGAAAGGTGTCATCAGGAAGATATAATCATCCTTTATTTCTGTTTCATGATCTGACCAAAATCGTTTCTTCCAGTGGGAAGAGTGGAGAGAGGAGGGAGGAGAGCGGGGAGGAGTTAGGTGCCGTAATTCAGTCTACAGACGCAAAAGAAACTACGAGTGAAGGGTCAGAAAACTGCTAAAGGCAAGCAGTTGACCAAGAAGGAGTCTACGTGATCATCCCTGGCTACTCAGCAAGGAGAGGGAGAACATAAGGCATCGAGGGAAAAGAGAATCCTACCATGTGACGGCCGTGTGGGAGCTAGGGCAGGAGGCACCTGTGGAGGAGAAGAGAGGGCAGAAGAACTAAGACACCCCAGCCTTTGAACAACCAACTGCCCTAATCCCACTTGGGGAGTACATTCCACTTATATGTGTAACCTAACATCAAGTAAGATGCAACCAACTTTTCTCAACCTGCTCATTTCTCACAGACTCAACTGTTGAGCCACAATTGAGCCTCTCTCCTCATCTTTCACTTTCAGCTGCCTAAACCTCACCTTCCTTCTATACTCTATCAACTCAGTCCTTTCCATATTATCCCCAATTCTACCACTAAAGTAGTAGTCCATGACCACACCAACTTTCATCTTAAGAGTTCAGAAAGACTGCCCGGTGTGGTGGTTCACGCCTCTAATCCTAGCATTTTGAGAGGCCAGGGTGAGAGAACTGCCTGAGCCCAGGGGCTCAAGACCAGCCTGGGCAACTTGGTGAGACCATGTCTCTACAATAAATCAAGAAAAATTAGCCAGGCGTGGTGGTGCACGCCTGTAGTTCCAGCTACTTGGAAGGCTGAAGTGGAAGGATCGCCTGAGCCCAGGAGGTTGAGGCTGCGGTAGCCATGAGCATGCCACTGCAAATCCAGTCTGGGGGACAGAGTGAACTTCAACTCTAAAAAAAAGAGTCCAGATCTACATGGCTTGTCCAAAATTGCAAAATCTGTTAGCAGTAGCACTGAGGCTGATATCCAAGATTTCTGACCAGGGTATTTCCCCATGTTTCTTTGCACCTGGAATATCTGCAAATCTTCTGAACTATTCCCCTTTCATTCATTCATCAGATGTTTATTAGGTATCTAATATTCACAAGGGATTACAACAGGTTCTCTGGAGGACAAGGGGTGAAAACAGAGTCCCTAATCTTAAAATGTCTACATTATAGGGAAATAAAGGTAGGGAAGTTGATGAAACTGTAGGAGTGATTTAGGAATGCACAGGAATACAAAAGAAAGTTCATTTATAACTGGGTGATTTGGGAGAAGGTGGGATATGAGACTGGTCTTGATGGATAATTAGGATTTCAGGCTGGGCACAGTGGCTCAAGCCTGTAATCCCAGCACTTTTGGGGGGCCAAGGCAAGAGGATTGCCTGAGCCTACAAGTTCAAGACCAGCCTGGGCAACATGGTGAGACCTCATCTCTACAATAAATCAAAAAAATTTGTCTGGCGTGGCAGTGCACATCTGTAATTCCGGCTACTTGGAAGGCTGAGGCCGAAGGAGCCCAGTAGGTCGACACTGGGGTGGCCGTGAGCATGCCACTGCACTCCAGCCTCAATGACAGAGTGAGAGTTCAACTCCAAAAAAAGATTTCAATAAGCATAAATGGGAGAGCTGGCATTACTCCAAACCAAGAATATAAGGAAATACTAAGTGGCAAGAGGTACAATAAAAACAGTGGTCTAATTTACCTACAGGATAATGAGCTAAGCTGTAAAGTTAAGGAATAAGGTATAGTATATCATGGAAGTTGTGAATAACTGGCTATGGGAGCCTGAACAAAAGCAAAGTCTGGAGCAGACTGCACACACATTCTAGCTTTTTTTGCTGTGTGACCTTGGGCAAATTACTTAACCTCTATAAACCCGTTTTCCTCATCCATAAGTGAGACTAACAGTATCTATCTCGCAGGATTTTTAAAATAATTAAATGAGATAGTACATAGAAAGCACTTAGCACAGTGCATGTCTGAAATAAATTATGTGGTCAGTAAAGAAGTAAGATGAGGTTTACACAGACCTTATCGTATACTTACGTAACTATATCTTACCTAACACATACATTACATAACAACATAAGGCAAGTAAGTGGTGCCCGGGGAAAGTCATCTCTGAAGACTGAACGGGAGGGCGTGGGCTAGCTGGAATCACACAAAAGCACTCCAAGGATGGAGCACTCTGAGTCTGACCTAGGGAACAGGAACAGAAGTCAAGTTCTGGAGGCAAGACGACCGCAGTATCCAAGAGGGCCCCTACAATCCCCACTTCCTGGCATTCCTTCTCTGCAGTCTCCGCCCACTCTCTACCAGGTGGGTCTACGACAACCAGAGTAAGAAGAGAGACTACTTCTGAGACCAGCTATAAAAGGTTCCGGGACCTCTCTCTTGGTTGTTCCCGCCCTCGTGCTCTTGGGGAAGCCAGCTGCCATCCTGGGAACCGCCCTGTGGAAAGGTCACGGAACGGACACTTGCCAACAGCCACACCGGTGAGCTCGGAAGTGGATCCTACAGCCCAGTGATCCTTGATTCGATCACAGCCTTGTGGGAGACTCTGACCTATAATCACACAGTTGAGCCATTCCCAGATTCCTGACGCTCAGGAACTCTAGGAGATAAAAAACATTTGTTGGGAGCTGCTTCCGTTTTGAGGCCATTTATTGCACTGCGATAGATACTACAACTACTTAAATAAAAACTGATAGTCTTGAAAATTGACAAAATGACGGCAGCAGAAGTGGATGTCAAGTCAAAAATACTAAGATTTCTAAGTCAGGAAGAACTGTTAGGGCCTGGTGCACTAGGGTTGCAAGGAAGATAATTTCACGATGCACGGAGTTTAACTGGGCCCAAGGGAAAGGGCAAACACAGATCTGAAAGTCACCTTACAGCCGTCACTTCAAGGGGGGAGATCGCCCAGAGCAAAGCTGCAAGGTCAGAAAAAGCCCAAGGTCAGAAACTAGAACACGGCAGGAAGACAGTAAAGAAAAGAAGCAAGCGGTCTCGAGACAGGAAGACAACCAGGGCAGCAGCATCAGGGACGTGGCACGCCCAAAAGCCCCAGGGGGCAAATACGTCGCGCGCTACACAGATCTCCTTGACTTTCTTCACCTTTCAATGTTTCTGAAATCAAACGGCGCCTGACAGTCACTAGGTCTGCTTGCCACGGGCTGTATTCCCTAAAGCCAGTCACCCCGGCGACGGCGGGGCCTGACGATCCACGGGCGTCGAGAAGCGGGCAGGGCGATGACTAGAGGTTGGACTCAAGCACAAGGACGAGGCTCCCGGGCGTTCGAGTCGCGCAAGAGGCGCCAAGAGGGGCACCGGGTTCTGCGTGCTTCTGCGCCACGAGGCAG